GCTTACAATGTTGGCTGGATGAGGACAGGCGTTGTCATCCATAATCACAAATTCTGTTCCCATGACTTACCTAAATAAACGAAAATGTTGTTTCAGTATAATTTCCCTATAAATTTGGCTTGCTAAGGTTCTGATTTTATTCATGCAGATTTGTTCTGGAGCCCAGTATAAATCCACATCAAACTAACAGCGTTATCCATTTTAAAGTCCGATGTGAATCGGACTGCAAACTAAACTTATAGACTAGTCGGAAAAGATCATACAAGCCCACTGTGCCCACGTTGCATGTTCTCTACTCCTTGCTAATCGCTGGTGACGGTGAGTTGCAGCAAGTGGAAAACATGGGACAGACCTGCAAACATATAGACCAATATTTCACAAACGTTTGTACAGGTTTGTGCTGGACCCGTGGCTGCAGATAACTGAGTAGTCAGGTCGGGTGCCGTGTTCTGTCTGCTTCTTTTACCAGTTACTGTCAAATACCGGTCTTAATTCGGCACTGTAACTGGGGGATACCTGCACTATAGTGTCTACTGATATCGGCTATTCATCATCTTAAAATCGTTGCCAAAGCCTAGAGATGACAATGAGATGATGATGATTACAGCAATTAAAAGTTCATCGGATACCTCCATCTGACTGTGCACCCACATTTCTGGCGGTTGATGCCACGTAAAAGAATTATCCACACACATTCCTTGTGTCATAACTATTCGTTTATGGAAAAGAACTGTATATACATAATGCTTGTGAACAATTTTACTTCTTTGCCAACATTCCTTAAACTCTTCTCTAACATCTTAGTCATTGAGACTTATTGACGACGTCATCTGGTGATTTTGTGTGATTTGAAAATTATTCGCTCTAATGCAAGTGATAATTCTACAAACGAAACTTTTACTTTAGACATAAATTTTTGTGTGATTCTTAATTATCTTTATTTTATAAACATGAGTGTAGTATAAAACCTTTTATTAATCACTTATTTAATAATTGAAAAAAAATTATCGGAAAATACATGCCTCAAACTAAACAAAACTCAAATAATGTCATTTCGTAGGGCAAATGATTTCAACATATTTCAAATAATGACTTCAAAAATATACTGTAGAACTCTGCAGAAATAAAATTAAAATTAAGAATTTTTAAACAGATCGAATAAACATTAATTAAAACTTATTTTTCAAAAAATGAAGTGTTACCGAAGTTGCATATGAATTACATTTAACGAAGCATTTAAAAAGTGAAACTAACTCCAAAACCATTGAATTGCTTTCTCAAATATGGAAAACCATTTAAAACAAAACTTTATTTTTGTTGAAATTCTTTACATAAACTTAAAAGCAATTATTTTCGATTGTTGGTTTTGCTCTTAAGAAATATATTTCCTTAGTGCTAAAAATTTATTAGGGGCAATAAGACCATTTAAAAAGGTGATGAGGATCGCAAGAAACTATTAATTTGACTCCGTTAATTACTAACGACTTGTTTTCTAAAAACTTTATTCTATGGGAGACAATTTATAGCTTCATTATCCGGTTCACTTTGCAGTTAAAACTAAAACTAAAACAAGAACAAATGGTGTATTTTACGAACACAGTTATTTGATTATACAGCTGTATTTAAGTGTGTTTGTCAATTCAGTTAAAAAACTGTTAGTTTTCGAAAGACGTAAATCTTTAAACCGTATAATGAATATAAATGCAATAAGAATTACTTAAGCAATAAAAATTTCGTAAATTACTTCTGTAAATTTGTTCTTATGATGGGAAATATTATAGTTTTATTCTATTTAAATGTGTATAGACGTTGTACTAAATTATGGAAACAAACGCTTTCATACTGAGCCTGGTGTAAATATTATTTCTTTTAGTATCAAACACTTTGGAAGATTAACTGTTGTCACAATTTAAAAGATCTTGCTTGAAGCTTTCAAAAATGATGTTAATTTTAACCATGTAAAATGAGGAGAATAAATTAACTTCTTTCTAGCTTTAATATCAGCAATTGCGAAATCATCCTATGGGATTGTATTAGTTATATAAGAATGTTTTTCCACTGTGTTGATATTGAAAAATGAAAGAAGTTTTTCATTCCTTACATTCTTTTGGTCAATACAAATTTTCCATGGCTAAAAAGGACAACATTTGAAGATCAAGGAGAAATTATATTCCTTTTTCACACAAGTGAAGATTGGATCACCATCTTGTGAATTTTGAAGATTATTGAGATTTAACAAGTCAATAAGGTGGAAAATTGGTTATCCCCGATATTTATTATTCTGTAAACAGGGTGAGTAGCCAAATTATTCAGCGAAAAATAAGCACCTTTTAAGCACTTTTCAAGCACTCAAAAAGTATTTTTAAGCACTTTAAAAAAATATAATAATTTGGCAGGGTTTGGAAGTTTTTGACAATTGACGGTTTTATCTTATTTTAACCGTCATGAAATTTTGAATCGCGTAAAACTAATGGTGTTTTCAGACGCTACGGACTGACAATACGCCGAAACAGATAGGGGTTGAATTGATTGTGAAAAACGTTGAATGGAACAATGTGAACTGTGCTTTTTTGCATAATTCGAAGAGAAAATTAAATAGTAAAGGAATAATCTCATAGTAAAGGAAACATCTCATTTTGAAAAAGGTAAAATTAAGTACTTTTTAAAAACACCCAATGAAAGAAGCACCTTTAAGGGCTTTTAAAAAGCGAAAATCGAAAATAAGCACCTTTAAGCACTTTTTAAAAATACTACGCACCCTGTGTAAAGAAGTGTCGTGCTGGATTTCGATATCTGTCCACGCGTAGGCAAAGGCTGAAGAAGACGATGGAGATACTAGTGAAGAAAATACGATATATGCTATAATTCGGCAAGAATTTTGAAGGAAAATGGTTCGTATCCAAACCAATTTTCAAGCTTTATTTTTTTCAGCAGCAAACATTGTAAATTTTAATTTCAAATTTTTAGTGGAAAAAATAAATACTTGAATTCAGAATTTTCAGTTAAAAAATAATTTTCGTGTATATTTTTATTCGTACAATTTCAATTAAATGCTTGTTCCTGAAAGTACTCAAACCTTGACACTCATTTTTCTCAGAATGGAAAGCTTCAAGGATAAAAAGCTTCATTAAAAAGCTTCAAGTATGATTTTTTATCAAATTGAATCAACAGTTTTCCACGTAAAATCTTCGAAAACATTTGCTGGTAAAAGAAAGATAGTTTACATAGAATAAGTGCAGAATTGTTTCCATAATTTTGCTATATCACCTTGTATAACGAACAAAATATGCATTTCAGTTAATCATTCGTGATATGGTTCGACTTCGCGGCCTTTTAAAGTCGTAGTTGTAACTTAGAAGTTTGGTTCTCTCTGAGAGTTATAACACAGTGAAGATGGACCATGCTGAGGGAAAACAATTCCACACGTAGATGAGGCAGGCTAGGACCCGGGCTACTAGTTTGTCAACTAGTTGATTATAGCTTGAAGTTAGTTGCTATAGTTTGTCGAATGCTAGTTGGTATAGTTTGTTGGAAATTACAAGCATTAAGGATCACACTAGCACTAGATAGAGGTTTTTTAACCGAATGCAAAAAAAATTGCACAAAATTATAAAATTCTTTTATCCAAAGATAATTCCATGCTAAAAAAAATTGTGTACTTATTTTTTATTTTTTTATTTAATAATAGTGGAAAAAATTTTGAATTTTAAGGTATGCAATTTCCTTTGCATCATTTTAAATAATATAATTTTACATGGCAAAATACAAAATTTGAGTCAAAATTGGATGATTAATTCCTGGGAAATTAAATTTCAAAAGATTAATTAAATTTAAAATTCGACTTCTCAGGAACTATTCGACCGATTTGGCTCAAAGTTTGTATTTTGCTATGCAAAATTATATTTCTTAAAGTGATGCAAAAAAAATACCTTATAATTCAAATTTTCTTAGACCACTATTAAATAAAATAATTAAAAATAAGAAATATTTTCTAAAAATAATTTTTTGTATTGGGTAAACAAATTTTATAATTCTGCTTGAAAATTTTTCAATTCACGTAAATAGTTATTCAGAGATAGCGAAATGCGCAAAAAGTAAAATAAACATTGAAGCCTCCAAACTTTGGAGCGCTGTTCTGACCAAACTATTGGGACCATATTTTCCAGATTGCGGCCACCCCCTATATTTTGGGGTTAGAAATTCGAATCCGCCAAAGAAAAAGTTATGTTTATTCAAAGAAAGTACGTGATTTCTTAACTTGATGGATCGTTTGCACTTATTAATTAACATGTTTGAGGTCACCCTCTCAAACCATTAAGCTTAAGTCCTAGATCGTGAAAATCCGATTATTTGATCAAAGGTTATTCAAAGAGGTCCTTTTTTTAACACTGTACAATACGCAGCATAAGAAAAGATAACACGTAAAAAAATTTCTTCTAATGACGGGGTTTTCCCATACTAAGGTTAAATCTTAAGTGTTCCAAAATGTTAACCTTAAAAAGGTCACTTCTCTTGTACAGACGTAAATTTAAAACAAAAAAGACTTGATAGAAGTTTAACGGTGCTCAGAGAGAGACATAACCCCTGGTAATTAAAGAAAAAGGGCTAAAGATTTAATAAAAACAGTTTAAAAAAAGACTGCGGCTAATAGAACGAATGAAGCAAGCGTAGATATATAAAATATTTAAACTGGTATTCTTCTTAATTCAATGAAATATTATTATGAAGATTAGTCTTGATGCTGTGTTAGTTATATAATCAGAAAGAAATATAGAAAAAAACTTACATTTTTAAATAAATGTATGAACAAACATGATTATTCCTTAAATTTAAAATAACTTATGACAAAGTAAAAAATATCAACAAAAATTTTATGTAATTTTAACAAAGGAAAATAAAGAGATATGTGACAGATTTCAAATGGCAATTTTTAACATATATTTATTAAAAATATAATTTTTTACAAAGTAATATTTTCCAAAGAAGAAAAAGCATACAAATGAAAACTTATTACATTTATTAAGGAAATATTAAAATCTTAGAAACAGAGCTCATATGAAACAAAGACAAACTAATATAAGCCAACATTTGGCTCCTTTGTAGCCTTTGTTCTGGCAGTAAAATTCACAGTCTTTAGTAGGTAGCGGGCAAGTTTCATTTCCATCTCTAAATGGTATGTTCAAATCTTGCTGTGCATTAGAAACTTGAATGATTAATGATAAAAAAAACATTAGAAAATTAAATATTTAATAAGAAACTATTAAAAGATGAAATATACAAAACAAAACAAAAGATGAAATATACAAAAGAAGACATACACAAAAATGAAAATTTCACATTAAAATTATTAATTAAATTAAAATTGAAATTAATAAATATATAAGATATAGTTGCACATACGATAAATAAAATAATAAAATAGATATTATTTGTTAATTTAAAAAATGCAATTTAAATTGCATGATTAAGTGATGCAAATAGTTAAAAAAAATTAAACACGTCATTCTTTATTCTTTCGTCGTCTTCAATTCAATGTCTTACACCTACATTTAAAAATATGCATTTAAAACTTATATAGCGGAAATGTTCAACTTACACACTTATAAATGGAACAATTCTTCAAAATTTTTTAATTGTATTTTCTCTCTGCCGCCTTTTTAATAATCTCTGCAGTTAAAATAAGCAACTTTTGTTCGAATCTAGAGTACTGAAATACTTGTTACGTTTATAGATTCTGATTAAATAATTAGTGAAACCGCCCTGTAGAAATTGTGGTGTATAGCACCAAGATCAGATTCATTTACCTAATTCATGAATTATTTTTACCAATTTTAGTGTAACATTAGAAACCGTCACGTGATCGATATTTCTTGTTTAAAATCTAGCAAAGAACGTGAAAGTTCGATTTCGCCTCATGCAGTGCTGAGCATTCCTCAGAAGTAAAGTGTTATAAAAATGCGTGTACTTTAACTACTATCTTATTCGGCTTTGCTAAAACCAAGTATCAATTCATAATATTTTCTCTGCGCTGCGTACATGTTTGATTAGCAAACTAATTTGATTCTAAGATATATTTTGTAGATGAATCCTAAATTAATAATTTTTACTCTATATTACATCGTTAAAATAACATTACTGACTCTTATGTGTATCATATTTTACTATAATTATCAATTTTAGTTTTGCTGAATAACAAAATAGTAGCGTGCACGAAATAGTGTTAAATATATTTTTTGGCGTTGTGAGACACCTAGATCCAAGAGTTACTTATGGTGTTTCCCTGCACCACTTTGGGGTAACGTTATTGACACCATTTTAGCGTTGATATACACTAAAAAGTTTTTACAGTGCAGAATTTAAAAAAAAAATTTTCATATTAACACAGAAATGAAATAAGAGCTTTGCATTTTTGAGTTTAATAAACTATAAAATAACAGAAAAGTATAAAAGATAAATTATCTGTACGTATTAGGGTTACTCACCAGTGTTAGCTTAAGACTGATCTAAGTTTTATGCTCTGATAACAAAAGGGTTTAAATATAATTCACGGTAAAATTTTTAGAACAAATTAATAATTCGGCTTGGTGAAAGGAATTAAATTGTATCAAAAGTTTTCGATAAACTGATTAAAGAAATGTTCAAGTAAAAGACAATCGATGCAGAGTAACAGCAAAAAAAACTGGTTGTTTTTAAATAAAAAATATTACTAAGTGTAAGATTAAATAGGATATGTTACTTGATAATTTTTTAACAAATAAAAGAAATGTGCCAACAAAATGCCATTTTCTGAAACATAAAAAATAGTATTGTCATAATCATGTGACGTGCAGAGCACCAATAGTTTTTTTTTCATAAATATATTGCTTGTAACTCAATGAAAATGCTTATTTTTATGTTACTTTTATTTAATGATGTTAATAATGATGATGTTTTATGTAAATTTACATGAGTAGTGAATTATATGATTGAAAATTCCTTTGCTTCAAAAATATGCACAGTGGACATAATAGTCGCCATGATACAAGTGTTTAAAAATAGACGCTCATTTTCAAGACTTGACAGACGTGAAAAGATGTGATTTAAAATGTAAAACGTAAAGAACTTCACATTTTAAATTTGAAATCACTTTTGTTCCCTTTCATTCACGTCTGACAAGTCATGAACATGGGCTCATATTTTTGTACATTTGAAACATGTCGACTATTACATCCAATCAGTATATTTTTGAATCGGATGAATTTTTTTATTTAAAGTTATATTTTACGCTTCCGTTTCTTGGGATTATTTATTTAATAAGTAGTGATAGTTTAGAGCACACAGCATAAATATTGCTAGAATTCAGAAATACCTGTGGTTGAACCTAATTGCCTTCAGCATTTGAGAAGCACTCATCTGTGCTATTTTAACACTAGATTGCCTAGGGAAGTCATTTTGACTGCTTTTAGATTCAATTAGAAAAACAATGATGTATATAATGACACAATTTCTTGGAATTTTGTACAACAGATACATTTTTCTTATTGTTAATATTTACTAATAACTTGTTATATAACTATAAATGATGTACAAAATATTAAAAATTAATATTAAACAAATTTCTTTACACATTATTTATTCTTTTAAAATCCAGTCATTTTGACTGCTTTTGGGCAATGTAGGTATATTCTAAGTTTCAGTCTTTCCAGTGTTAATAATTGTCAAATTTTATTCGTTTGTTAAAAATTTAAATTTTGTGCAAAACTTTTAAGTAAAAATCCTGTTCTGAAATTATGTTATTTAAAGCTGAAAAAAGAAATTGTTAGAAGTACAAAAAAATACTCACCAAATATGCTAATTATTATGATAACAAGAGTTAAAATTTTGAGTTTATTCATCCTCTGAAAAGGAAATGTTTATTTAATTTGTTACTCTTTTAAGTGTAAGAAAATGGCAAAAAAACAGCAATGCAAAAAACACAGTTAAGAAAAATGATGCAAACAATTGCAAATAATTTAAGAAACTAAAAAAAAGAGTTTATTTTACACTTAACTTCGCAATTCTTGCAGTAAGACAATCTATATGCAAATAGAAGATTTAAAGAAACGTACGTTCCAAATTGTTACTTAACTATCTATTGAAAGCTTACCTCTACATTTACTAACAAATCCTTTCCTTAAATTCAATGTTCTGTGAAGTCTAATTGCCATTCTTTTCTTAAATACATTTTCTCTCACGAGAGAATATATTTAATTTAACTACAAATAGATGCACTAACTATTCTTTTAAACAATTGACTTTTATTGAAACAATAGAATTGGTGAAATTGATGATGAATCAAAAGATCTTGTAGTTAGGTATTTCGGTTCAATGTATTTTTAGCTGAAAAATATACACCCAATTAGTTTCCTTTTAAGTACTTTATTACAATTGAGTCGCTTGACGCTTTTCTTAATTAACGTCGCATTAATTGCAGTCGGTAAGTTTAATTAAGATTTTTATGTAAATGCGTAATATAAATGCTACTTGCATAATTTTGGTAGCAGCACAAATAAGAAGTTTTGGAGAAAGTTTGTATTACAGCGTTAGATGGGGGTGCTCTTGTAAAGGTTTCATAAGTTAGGGTTTCATAACTTTTATTTCCAACTGAAAAGGAAAACGATTTATTCAATAAGCCACATTTTCTTGCCGTGAGGGCTCAGGGGGTAGAGCGTTCGTCTTCCAATGCGTCTAACCAGATTCGAATCGAAGTCTATACGAATTCCGCATCCGGCTTCCACTGACCACGGTGCTGACGTGAAATATCCTCAGTGGTAGACGGATCATGGATTAGAGTCCCCTTGCCGTCAGGCTAACCATGGGTGTTTATCGTGGTCTTCCTCTCCATGTATCGCAAATGCGGGTTAGCTCCATCAAAAATTCCTCCACGAAGGCAAATTCCTCCCAATACTCGATCCAGGAGTTCCCTTGTCTTCTGGATTGGGTTCAAAATTACAAGGCTGAACACTGGTAGTCGTAAATCCATAAAAATTGGGTCGACTGTTCAACGACGGTTATAAAATAAATAAAATAATATAAGCCACATTTGCCAAAACTTTAGGTAAAAACAGAATCTTAAAAAATTATGTCAACCATTTTTCGTTCAAATGTAAGCGTGAAGCTTCAACTGAAAAATTTATGAATTTGAGGTCAATGAAGAGAAATATTCACCTTTTTTCCATCTTCGTGTTACTGCAGATTGTATTTTTTTATTAATTTTTAGATGCAAAACCTTTTCGTCATTTACTTTTCAATTGCTCTTATTTTATTGTTTAATTGATAGCCTCATCATTCATTATTGGATTTCATTCCGACAACACATTAAGTGGTTAAAATACCGAAACTTAACTTAATAAAATATTTTTTACACAGCTTTCCATATATGACACACTTGTTACCATTCATATTTTTTACAATTTGCAATGTTCATTTTTATTAAATTTATACTCAACGCAAAGACAGGTGAAAAAAAAAACTTAGAACAATTAATATTTATAGAACACTTATTATTGTTTTTAAAAGTAATGTTTAAAAGATTGCATAAAAAACTAATATGGATGAAATCCTACAACTGCGCATGTGTTCTGATTAATAGAAAATTTAAATATTTATGAAAATAAAGAAGTTTGTCTGTGCTTGTATTTCCCTTGTGACTCCAGAACTGTTTTGCCTTAGAACATAGAATTTGGGCAACAAGAGGCAATTTTAATCTTTGATCTTAATCTTAAAAAAAGGGTGATCTCTTAAGTTGACCATCACGCATTGTTAAGAAATTATTTTTTGTTAATAAATTTCAAAGATATTATCAGTGATATTTGGTAGTCCCTAGTTCTATTTATTCACAGGCGAGTTTCAAGCTTATTGTACCTTTCTTAACAATAATTTATTTTTGATCGATTATGGGAGATGTAATTCTTAAATAATTATTTTATTAACAATGACACGTTTGTAACACGTTTCCACAAATCTTGGTAAAATAAACTACAATGGAAATTAAAAATATATATTTCTTATACTAAAGTGGTTATTCATCGGAAAAAATGGTTAATTGTGGTTAATCTTCGCTTATGATGACCTGACTGTAATGAATAGTACATTCTTTCTATATTTAGTTTACATTTAGTTTCTATTTTGCTTATAGTTCTACTTTTGAAACGTGGTTTCATAAATATTAGTAATGTAAGCGATAATGTAAATAAAAAAATCTATAACCTATGATAAAAAATCTATAAACTAAAATGCCAATTTATCGGGAAGGTTGCTAGATTGCAGTAAATCTGAGATGTCATGGTTTTACTACATTCATTAGTGCATTATTTAGATATTTATTTTGCAATTAGTTTTTCTTTCTTTTTTGATGAATTGAGCTTAATCGTTTATTTTAAATCCACTCGTAATGAGCACAAATAAGGATAAAATAGTTAAAATAATTTTTAAATTTTTTTTAATTGCCTCGATTTATGTTTTTTACTTTTGTACATGAATGCATTGTGTAAATAAAGTTTATATATTAATTATTATCCTTATAATTCCATACCTAGAATGAGTATTCATCTGGTGTGTAATAAAATGCAATATTTTCTTTTATTCTACCAGCATTTTTTTTACCATTAGTAAATTGACTGCGTTAAAATTTGATATACTTATATATGGGATTTAATACATTTCTAAACAATTTTTCTTAGCTTTCTGAAATCTAATCCATAGAGATAGTTTTCATTTTAAAAAATGCATCAAACTATTTCTTAAGCATAAATCATTACCTTTCTAAGAAATTTCCACTCAACGCGAAGATAATGTTAATATATAGTAGAACATCTAGTATTTAGAGATGTTCTTTTTATTTATAAAATTAATTTATCAAAATCGTTGAATGAAAAGGAAAAATAAAAAAAAAGATAATATAGCAAATAATAAACAGTTTATTTAACATGCAAAACATACCATTTTTTTAAATAAAAAAATAAGTTTTTTTTTAAAAAAAATAGAAAAAATTAATCAGTTTTTGCACAAAAATAAATATAATCTACTAAGTTAAAGTAAATTTTAAACAATTTTCCTCAGTTTTTTTTAAAATTGATGTCACTAGATAAAATAAATTATACATTCAAAGAGCTTTAAACTGTGCTTGAAAATATAATAAGTTGAAAAAATTGCTTTTAGAAGTATTATAATTCTCAAGTTAGAAGAATAACAGATTAGTGTTAAAAGCATAATTTATTGATTTTTTCATATGAGTTTCCACTGAGTTAATTGAATATAAAGTAAAATTACCAATATTTAGAGAGCGTTTGTTTACCGTTCTAAAATTACCTAAAATAGTTTCCTAAACGAAAAGAAATATATAAAATTCTTCAACTGCCACATTTTCTAAACTTTATCACATATTATAAGACCATATTATACAGTTAATGTAACCAAAATCACCAACAAAGTGCTTCTGTAAAAACTATCGAGCTTTCTGGTGTTCCCATAGTGCCAGAAACATGCTGAATTGAACCATATTTTGGAAGTTTTGACCATAACTAAGTTTTGACCATTTGACCATAATTTGTATGCTTGTAATTTAATACAACTCAAAAATATTTTTTCTTATCTAAATAAAATACACTTTAGAATGGTACAGGAAAACAATATACAGCGTGGAACTTTAATTTCGTGAATGACAAAGCAGACGTTTCAAAGCAGACAAAGCTTTCATTTTTATACTTCAACCGCAATGGAAAAACAGACACCTATTTTCCAAACTTGCCAAACGTTAATGAGAAGACACAAAAGTGATTTGAAATATTAAACGAAAAGTTGAAAAAAAGAATGAAAAACATCTTTATTTTTCCTTTTTTTTCACGGAAAATTTATGTTTGATATTTCAAACCACTTTTGTTTCTTCTCATCCATGTCTGGCAAGTCTTGAAAACGGGCGTTTGTTTTTGAGCACTTGAAAAAATTCGACTGTCATTTCCTATTCATATATTTATATATTTTTGAAGTAAATGTAATTTTTGATAGGTTTAATAAGTAAAGTATTATAACATAGATAATATAACACTTTTATTTATTTATTTGTTTTAAGAAAAAATTAAGCTATTCCTTACAGAAAAGCGAAATATACTGCACTAAATTAAAAATATCTATGCATGCTATTTAATACAATTCTAAACAAATTTTTCATAGCTTTCTAAAATGTATTTTATTTAGATAAGGGAAAAGAAGACTGCTTAGAACTTCAATTTAGTGAGTGACGACGTTATTTTCCTTTATATACTTCAACGCCTGCGATGGAAAGCTTCAAATGAATTGTTATGCCAGTTTGTTTTAGTAGAAAAAGATAAAGACTTGCGTAAAAAAAGGAATGTTATTCATTAATTTATGAGCTGGGTTGGCGTAAAATGATCTTTTGTGGCATCTTTAGTAATTAACTTATACGACGTACTGCAGTACTAGGAAACAGATTAAATGAAAGAGTGTCAGGAAAAAGGCAAGAGCAATACCTCGGTTAAATGGATAGCATTTTTTTTAAATAAATAAAAGTATACGAGTAAATAAAGTAAACATATGGTCTTCGTTTCACGGTAGTCAACTTACAAATAAGCAAGAAAATAAAGCAATTTTTATCTTTTCCATTTTTCATGAGATTTATATTAGGTTTTGATGTTGTTTTCCAATTTCTTTTATTGCATTTTTCTTTATGAGGCATGGTTTAGAATAAAATAAATGTATATTAAAACACAATAATTCTATTTTCTCTAACTTAACTCCCGAAACTTTATGATTTCTTCACAACTATTTTTTGGTTTATGGCATTAAAGATATTGTTATACCAAAATAAAAAATTAATCATATAAAAGATCTCACAAGTTTATTTTCAAAATTTGCTGAAATAAAATTTAAATCTAGTAGTTTTGTTTGTTTTATTTTATAACCGGCGTTGAATATCCGACCCAATTTTCTTGAGTTCACGACTACCACGACTACTTTCTTGAGTTCAAACTTCGTAGTCATGTAATCTTGAACCCAATCCAAAAGACTAGAAAACTCTTGGATCAAGTATTGGGATAAATTTGCTTTCGTGATGGACTTTTTGATGGAACTTTACCCTCATCTGCGATGCATAGAGATCAAAATCCCAAAAACCTGACAACATGGGGAATGTTCATGCTCCGCCTACCACTGAAAATG